TGCTCCCGGCTCCCTGCTGCTCCCCCTTGTCGGCCCATGAGAAATTTCGCACCTCGCCCGGGTGGGTGTCGGGGGGCAGCCCGGCCGCGCTCCCAGCTCCACTCCGGCCTTCCCAGCGGGACCCCTGCCCAAACGGGCAGTGGGAACACGCGGATCCGGCGCAGACGGAGCGCGGCTCGCTCATCCACAAGCCAGGCCATGGGGCGTCCCAAAAAAGGGGGGAAAAAGGGAGGGAAAGGGCTCCCTGGAGGGCGGTTGCCGTCCCAGGAGACCCCCTTAGGGAAACGGGGGTCCTGGGCAGGACTTGTAGGGACAACCAGCCCGGCACCGTCAACCTCAGGAGCCCGAAACCATGAGCTCAAAACCCCAGACTGGCCTAAAATAGAGGTGCTGGCATCGTCTCCGGCTTCTCCCCTGGTGCCAAGGCTCGTGGCCGCTTGTCCAGTGGGGATGTGAGGTGGGGAAATCCAGCGGCTGCACAGAGRCCGTGGAGAGCTGCTCCTGGAGACACAGCCCTTGCTGCCTTCCCGGGAGGATTGCCCCCGGATCACAGGCGGCGAGGGGAGCAGCAGGCTCTTCCTGTGGGAATTCTTGGGTGTCCAGGATCGTTCATCATGTGGCCAAAGGAAGACAAGCTCCGAGGCCAACCGTGCCCATGGCCTGTGCTCTATAAAGAGGCCTTGGATGCAGCGGCATCACCCGGAGCCCAGYGCTCCCATTTGATCCCAGCCATGGATTCGCAGGGGACACCAGGGTGATGGGGAGGGGGACATGCGCACARCACCCGGGGGACACAGGCAGGACCTCTGAGAAAGACCAGCCGAGGGACGGGGGCGGCTGAGGGCAAAGCAACATCCTGCTGTCCCCGTCCTCTGTTCCCATCTCAGCAACCCTCTGGAGCAGCATCCAGAGGGTGGATACGGCCACGGGATGAGGGAGCAAAGCGGGGTGCGCAGGGGGGACAGGCCCCAGACGGCCAATACACAACCCGGCCGCGCTTCAGACACCCGGCCCGGCTCCTTTGTCAGGTTAATGTGGGGTAATGGCCTGCAAAGCACCTCAGCGCCATCCAGGGCTCATTAGCACTTGATAATGTGGAGCATCCTGCAGGATCGCGGCTCTGCTCCCCTCCCCGGGGCCCTGCTCCCAGATGGCCGGGGGACCTGGGGACATGGGGGTGCGAAACGCGGGCATGTGGGACGTGAAGCGCGGGGACATTCCTGCCCGTGGGCTCCCTTTGCGGCTCCCTCGCCCAGCACGTGGGGAAAGCGCCTCCCTGTCCCGGCGCCTCCGGGGTCTCCCTTCATTTCTCCCCCCAGTCCCTCCAGTTTGGCCCGGGATCCCCCAGTCAGACGCGGGATCCCCATTCCCAAGGATCGGGCGGGATCCCCATTCCCAAGCCGGCCGGCGGGCTGCAAACGCAGGTATTGGGAGCATCCCCCAACGGGGCGTTTAAAATTAATTGGGAATTATAACCAAAGGAGGCTCCGAGGCCGCATGGGTACAGTCAGGGGTGCGTGCTCGGCCCCGCTGCCCCCTTCAATTATCTTTTTCTCTCCGACATTGTTCTCCCCTAATGAGGAGGCTAATGACCAAAGGATGGTTCATAAGTGGTTCCCAGACTCTCCTCGCCCAGGGCAAACACCGGCCACAATAGGATCACAAATTGTAGGGAGAAGCCCCGGCTGATCACATCAGAAACGGTGCAGGGATTTATCTCTCTGCCTTAACAATAACAGTATGTTCTTAATCGCCGCTCCAAAGGGACAACTAGCRGGGGATCGGCCGGGCCTCATCATTAAAAGCTGGCAGCATCTTTGCTAGCGCTGCCCCTTTTGTTCATCTTTCATTATCCCAGCGCCCCGGCCCCCGTTAATTCCTCTCCATCTTATTAAATCAATAGACAGGGAGTGGGGGAAGGACGGGGCAGAGCAGGGGTCGGATCCAGCTCCGGTCCCGCTGGCTTCCCCAGCGCCGGAGGGCTCCGACCGGCCGCGAATGGAGCCGACATCGCGAGTGTTGATGGCCTGACTTGCATTAAGAGGGAATTTCTGCATAAAAATCCAAATATTGGGCTGTTAAACACCCGACACCCAAGCCCTGCTGCCATCAGGGTTTCTATGGATGGGGCTGTACCCACAAATCTGCAGCTCTTGAGTATTTTCCTAGGTCTTAGTGCACAGGGAAACTGAGGCACGAGGAGCTGAAGCCTCAGGGGATTGAGCAGGGCTGGGAAGGGTTTCTCCAGCTGCCGTCGTCCCTCCGTGCTCGACTCAACCCCATCACCTTCCATGCACGAGCCAGTGCCGGAGCAGCCCGGGATGTTGCTCCGGAAGGCGGGTGCGACGGTGCCGGAGGCTGCGGGGCCTCGTCGCCCATCGGGCACCGGGCGAATCCCGTCTCGCACAAGCAGGGTGGGAAAACAGAGCCCCAGGGCCGGGTCCCTGCTCGACCGGTGCCTTGTGGGGCCTTGGGGGGTTGTTGTTGTTCTTGATCTCATCACCCTCCCGTCCCAGGTCCCCTGTAGAAAAGCTCCGTCGGGAGCTTCCAACTGCTCCGCATGGGATTTTGGACACATTTCTGCTCAGAGCCGCCCGCCTGCTCGGCGAGGCTTGGTTTGATGTTTCAATTTGGGAGTTAAGGAGCGTGGAAAAGGGACAGGGGAGTGAGGGGAAGGCTCCCGAACCGTTTAATGAGATTACACGAGGAGCCGGAGCCCGCGGCACGCACGGAGCCGGGCTTCGCCTGCAGCCCTAATCCCATTTGGGAACCCGGAAAGAGAGCAAGGGGGGGCAGATTGGCCATGGGAAACAGAGCCACGAGCGGGAGATGAACACGAAAAGCTCTGGGAAAGTCGTGGCCTGGCCGTGTGGCTCCATCCCCATATCCTGTCGGCATCTCCCCATCCCGTCCATTTACACCTCTCCATCCACGCAGCGACGTCCCACTCATTCTCCCACTTATCCATGAGATATTCCCCTGGGTAAATGTGTCTGCCGGGCTATTCCCCCGGGGAAATAAGCCCATCCATCAGTGTGCCGAGCTGCCTGTCCCGCAGCGGCTGCCCGCGCGGGCAGAGGCACCTCACCCTCCGGATACCGCTGCCTAATAACCACGTTCCCGGTATGGAGGACAACCCGTTTGCTGCAAATGGGTAAAAAAGGCAAAAAAATAGCATCACTCAAAGAGAGCCAGTGGGTGCGTGGGATTGGGAAGGGGATGAGGGATTTTGGCGTGAGTGGCAGGGCACAGCGCCCCGGGCCTGGCCTTAAACCACACTTATATCCTGCGTCCATCCCTCACCGGGAGGGATTTTTGTGCCCGGGCTGCATTTTGGCCATGCCCAAATCCGCCTTTCCCGGAAACCCTCCTCCCRCCTGTCCCCGGGAGCGGGGCCCTTATCGTCCCCATTCGGGTGGCTTTTGTCCTGCAGATCCCGGCGCTCCCTCCCCGCCCTGAGGAGCAGACAAGTTAATCAGCGGGAAGGAGACCCGGGGGCTCCGGCTCCCGCCGGCACCCAGGGGCAGCCGCGAGACGGGATCCATGGGATCCGTGGGGTCCTGGGTCCCCTCGTACCCCCCTGGACCCGCCGACCCTGGGGAACATCAAGCAGGAGGAGCAAATCCCARTTCCCCGTGGAAGCCGGACCATGCACACGGTTTAGCCCAGCCACATAAATGCCACTTTTGGAAAGGCAGGGTTAATCAAAGGCATTTCCCTGCGGATGCCACCGCACCCATCCGGGAGCCGGGCTGAGCCCCAGCACCGCTCATAGCACGGATGGGAGCCGCCATCCYGCCAGGCGCTGAGCAGGGGATTATCCATCCTGGGAACAACTTAACCCCCTCAATGGGCTCGGCCCCCGGCCGGGCRGCATTAAAACCCCCCGCGGACGCCCCTTGTGCCGGGGCCGCGGGCAATAAAGGCGCCGGCGCGCGAAGGCGCTCGCGCGGTTTGGGGCCCTTTGAGCCTTTTGAGCTAATCCGGGCGCCCGGCACGGCCGGAACGAAGGAGCCGCTTCCGCCGCATCATCCCCTTCTCCTCGCTGCTCCCTCGCCGTGGGAGCGAATTCCGTGCTCCCGCAGAGCGGGATCGGAGGGGTATCCGAGCGGGAAGAGCTGCTCTGCTCGGCTCAGGTGCCTGCGTCAAGCCAATGTCCTGGCATCCCTGGGGACTGTCCCTGGAGAGCGGGATTCCAGCCGGAGCAAGGCTGAGCTGCCGCCCTCAGCCCCTTCCCAGCTCTGCCAGGAAAATCCCAACACTTTTCCCAGCGGCAGGAAAATCCCGACACTTCCATGTTTGTCCACTGCTTTACAGGCTTCCCAGGGGAGTCCTGTGCGCTGGGAGCCAGCAGTTTGGGTGGGGAAAACACCCGTTTTAGACCACGCAAATCCCTGGGGAGTTTTCTCTGGAAAGGACTTGGACAAGGTTAAACCAGCGCAGTGGGGAGAGCTGGGCAGGGGAAATGATTAAAGGGAATGACCTGAGAGATAGCTAAATTCCACATTCCCTGTGGAGGGAGAGAAGGTGGATAACATGGCAGATAGGGAGGAGGGAAGAACGGAAGAACTTGCAGGAAAACCAGGGCAGGCGAGTCAGGTGAGAAGAAGAGGTCCATAAATAAATTATTTTTGCACTGCAAAGATATTGACTGCCCTGGATAGATTCGATGCGCTCGTTGCCAGCTGCGATGCACCCACAAGCGCACACGGGAGACGCTGCTGGTTGCAACAGCCCGTGCAGGGAGCAACAGCCTGTGCAGGGAGCAACAGCCTGTGCAGGGAACAACAGCCCATGCAGGGAACAACAGCCCGTGCAAGGAACAACAGCCCGTGCAGGGAACAACAGCCCGTGCAGGGAGCAACAGCCCGTGCAGGGGACAACAGCCCATGCAGGGGACAACAGCCCGTGCAAGGGCTGTGCGGCTGTTGCCGCCGAGCGAGGGGAGGACAGGGTGTCTTCCCGACTGTCCCCGGCCTGGAAGTCCATGTCCTGCTCACCGTGGTGGCTCTGTGAGCCCAGGTTCCTCTGTGCGGTGCCCCAGTCCATTTTGGCCCATTTGCCTTCTTGTTGTCCCAGGCTTCCTTCCCTCTGCTTGATCCAGCGGTTCTGGAACCACATGTTGGCCTGGGAAAGGGCAAAGTTTGGCTTTTAGTCCCAGCTTCTCCACTGCACAACCCTGCTCCCCAGGGATGTTCCCCCGGCTCATCAGGAGGGCAGATACCCCTGCCGAGATCCAGCCCCTCTAGGCACATCCCTAACCCAGGGACCCAATCCCACTCCAAACGAAACTCAACCTGGCTATTTTATTTTATTTTATTTTATTTTATTTTATTTTATTTTATTTTATTTTATTTTATTTTATTTTATTTTATTTTATTTTATTTTATTTATTTCAGTTAGGAGGAGCCTTTTTATTTGACGCACCTGGACACAGTTAAGAGGAAAATTGGGAGAAGTCCCAATTACAGAGGAACTGCTGCTACAGTTTAGAAGAAAATGTGCTATCAGCATGGCACTATCACCTCCATGTCCCCATTTTCCCTGTTTCCATGCTGGATTGTCCCCCCGTGTCCCCTTTCCCAATTGGAGCAGGAAAGGGAGGTGTGAGGCCAGCCAGGGTGGCCAGTGTCACCCCAAGGCCACCAGAGCCCCCTTGAAGGGAGCTGACTGGGATGCACAGGGAAGTGACYGGAATACAAAGGGGGGTGACCATCGATGGCATTCGGATGGTCATTAGGGCCTGAGATCCTTAAAACAGGGCAGCTTTTCCTAACGAGCTGGGAAAAGTCACAGGTGGAGCCAGCGCCGGCGGGAGCAGTCCCATCTAAGGCCCCCGTTGCTGCTCCCGTCGTTATGGGGTTATGGAGAGGGAACGGGTCCGGAGCGAGCCCGCGAGCCGGGAGCTGCCTCTGCTCCAGAGCCTTTGGCCGGGATCCCCGGGCTGCCCTGAGGTCTCACTAGCTCCCGCTCAAGAGGGGACGGAGACCTGTGGGAAAGCCGGGAAAACGGAGCTTCCCGCTGCATCCCCACGGCACCCGCGGCACCCGTGCCGGGACAGCACCCGGCTGGCGTCACTGCCGGTGCGGGCGGCCCGGGAAAGGGCTGGCCAGGCTCCTGCAGGGCCCCTTGGCCGGGATATCTTTGCACCGGGACAAGGATGGGCCCGGGGTGGGAGACAACATGAAAGGGCGGCCCCGACCCCGCAGGTTTGTCCCCGYGAGCTCTTAATTACGGCCTTGAAAGGACCCACATAAAAAAGCAGGAGGCCCCAGCAGGGCCCCCGTTTCACTGGGAGGTATCGCGGGGCCGTTCCCTTTTCATCCCCCTCTATTTTTCCCTTTCCCCCCTCCTCGGGGCTCGGCAAACATCCCCCGGCCCCTCTCCGAGCTCCCCGCGGCCACGTCCCGCCGGCAGCGCAAACACAGCCGTGTTTGGGCAGAGCCAACACGGACACCGGAGGCCGCTTTGCAAATCCCGCCTTATCCTGCTTTTTTTTTTTTTTTTTTTTTTTTACTGGAAAACTGCCCCTCTGTGCCCCATTTTCCCCGCCTTGCTCCGGTGTTTGGGTTGTTTCCTGCTTCGCTGACACATTTGGGTTGATCCTGCCTTGGGAAAGGCGTCGGTGCTTCGCTCCCTTCCTGTGTTCCTTGATTCGGGAATGCGGAGAAACGATTGAAGGGGGCGGTTTGGAGGGAGCAAAGTGGGTGACAAGGGACMGACGTGGGGTCCGGCAACCCGGCGCTTTGGGATGTCAGGCGAAAGCCCTGGAGTCACGGCTGGCTATTCATGGCCATTCCCGGCATCCTGGGGACCAGTGTCAGGAGCTGCATGGGAATGGATATAGGGAAAATGTTTCCCTATAGGGGAAAATATAGGGACAGCTYGGGGAGGGGTGACAGCGGGCGCGGGTGTTCAGCACAGCCGTGACAACAGGCAGGGCAGGTTGTTGGGCGGCAGACAGCCCCGCGCCCAAACCACAGCCCCCAGCCCCGGCGGCTCTTGCTGCCAGGTGAATCCTCTGTTATTCCGCCAGCTCCGCGCAGGAGAAGCTCCTGAGCTAATTAATAACAATGATGGTCATTAGGCCGGCCAAGGACTGTCTGGTCTGGGCGCTTTGTGGATTGCCGGCTGCCCCCGGAGGCTCCGGCTCCGTCCCGGGCTCCCGACTGCCTCCAATGGGCAGGGAGAAGTAGGGAGGCTGCAAACAGTGATGGAGAGCCAGGAAAATCATGGATCAGCGGGATGGGAGGACTGGGAGCAGCCCGAAATGTGGGGCTGCAGCCTGGGCTCCCATTGCCGGGCTCTGCCCATCGGCATCCGGCATCCGTGGCCCTTTGCAAAGGGYCCCATCAGTTTTATTTGAACACCGGGATGCTCCACACACTAAATATCCCCTTCTCCGGCTGCCGTTGAAGGTCTCCCGGTGGGATTCGGGATAAGCAGGATGAAGCTCTCCCTTAAGCCCGCTAAGGGATGCGGCTGCATTGCTCAGCTCCCTCAACTTGACCCGGGCGGCACGCGCCGACACGGCTCCTCACACCGCCTGGCGGAATGGGTTTATCGGGAAAGAGGAAAAGGGCTTTTCCTAAAGCCGGCGGCGGCRTGACCTGGGAAATCCCTGCCCGCGGGATCCCTGGGTTTCTGCAGATGCTGCTTGATAGGGGCTACAATGCACGGGGACAGTGGCCTTGGTTCCTGGGCACGTGTCCCCTGCCAGGGTGGCCTGGTGGTTGGTGCCCTCCACAAACTCATCCCTCCCCAAAAAGAAGGGCTTTCTGCTGTCTGCTCGACCCACTTGTGTCAGATTGGGAATCCGAACAAGGAGCTGGTGCTGAGGGCTGCAAGTTAGCAGGGATCCCAGTTATTAGGATTCCCAGTTATCAGGATTCTCACCTGGATCCCAGTCACACAGTTCCTGCTCACGGCTCCCAGTGGGTGCACCTCTACCGGGGATCCCAGTGGGCGCAGACCAGTTAGAAGGTCCTCACTGGTGGGTCCTAGTTAAAGGGATTCCAGCTAGTGGGTCCCAGATATCAGAGCACCCTTAGCAGGTCCCCATTAGTGGGTCCTATCAGCAGGGCCCCATGAGCCAGCCCCTATAAGCAGCCCCCCTTTAGCAGCTCCCATCAGTGGCTCCCCGTTGTTGCATCCCTCTCCGCACGGCCCCTCTTGGTGGGTTTCCTTCTGCAGATCCCCATTAGTAGGCCCCAATTAGCAGGTTCCCATTAGCAGACCCCCATTAGTGGACCCTCATTAGCAGACCCTCATTAATGGCTCCGTGTTAGCAGTGGAACATCCCAGTGGAAGGATGCATCTCCGTTAGCAGCATCCTGTTATTGAGTGGCCATTAGCAGTGGTGTTCCTGAGGATCCGCATTAAGGGGCTCCCCATTAGCAGATCCGCATTACGGGGCTCCCCGTTAGCAGATCCACGTTAGGGGCTCCCCGGGGGCCGGTCCCGCCGCGGGCCGCCCCGTCCGGGCTGCGCCCTTCTCCCCGTGGCCACCGGGGGCCGCTGCCGCCCGCCGCATCCCGATCCCACCGTGACCCGATCCCGCTGCATCCTGATCCCGCCGCATCCCACAACCGCCACATGCCCATTCCGCCGCGTCCCGTTCCCGCCGCACCCCAATCCCAGAGCGTCCCGATCCCGCCGTGTCTCGATCCCACCATGATCTGATCCCGCCACATCCCGATCCCATCGCATCCTGATCCTGATACATCCCAATCCTGTTGCAGCCCCATCCCGGCCCATCCCGTTCCCGGCGTGTCCCAATCCTGCCATGTTCAGATTCCGCTGCGACCTAATCTTGCCACATCACCATCCCTTCTGTATCCCTGTCCCCACCTCATCCTACTCCTGATCCCACCACATCCCTGTCTCTGCCACATTCCTCTCTGGATCCCACTGCATACCTGTCCCCATGGCATYCCTGCTCCTGCTGCTTCCCCTGTCACTGTTGCATCCCCCGTCCCAACCACATTCCCCCATCCTACTGCATCCCTGATCCTGCCACATCACCCACTTCCAGTGCATCCCTGGCCATGATCCTGTTGCATCCTTGTCCACTCCATCCCCAGGCCCAGTCCCACCACATTCATGGTCCTGCTGCATTCCCAGTCCTGCTGCATCCCTGGATCAGCCTCATCATCCATCCTTGCTGTATCCCTGGTTCCTATCCTGCTGCATTCCCCTTGTCCCACTGCTGGCCCAGTCCTGCCACATTCCCATTTGGACCTCGCTGCATTCCTGGGTCCGCTGCATCCCCAACCAACTGCATCCCCAACCCCAGTCCTGCTGCATCCCCAGCCCTGGTCCCACTGCATCCTTGGACCGCTGTATCACCAGCCCAGTCCCAATGAATCCCCCAGCCCTGCTATTTTCTCGTCCCGTCCCGTCCCGTCCCGTCCCATCCCATCCCATCCCATCCCATCCCATCCCATCCCATCCCATCCCATCCCATCCCATCCCATCCCATCCCATGGCAGGTCACAGCCACCCACGGCGCCAACCCGCTCCTGGCATCCCCTCTCCAGGGACCGCAGCAGGATGGCAGCGGGACAACAGCCCCGGCAGGAGCATCCGCAGCCGCTGCTGCCCCGGAGAAAGTCCCGCCGCGTCCTTGCCAGATCCCGYGCGCCGGGAGAATTGATGCCGACGGATTTTCCGCCCGAGTCTGTCAACAGGGGTGACCGCCCGCCCCGGCCCCGCTAATCCCCGGCCGGGCTGTGCAAACAGCTCGGGGGCAGCGCGGGCGCTGCAGGAGAAGCGCGTCCTTGCGCCTAAGCCGCCGCGCGGGTCCCGCATCCCAAGCACCGGATTGCGGCCGGAGCTGCCACCAGAGCCGGCCCTAATCCCCAGCGTGGGGATGGGGACAGCAGCGGGCTTGGATCCGGACATTATTCCCACTTTTATTATCTATCGATTGCCGGTGTCGGCAGGGTCGCGGTGGGAAGGGGCTCGCTCAGCCCCACGCTCCCCTGCTGCAAAATAATAATTATTATTTATTAGATAATAATAATAAGATACAACCCAATAATAAGAACAGCCCAAACTCATTTCTCCCGTTTTCCCTCCCGAGATTAATGATAAACCACCCGTCCCCTCAGCGAAACTGA